AATAAAATAAAATAAAGATAAACATTTGTTCATCTCCATTATCCAGAAAGATAGTTTAAAATCGTCGATTTAAGTTTATCTTGATTTTAGTTTTAAGTCAAGTATAAATCAAAACTTATTTTCCGTTAAACAGTTACTAATTTTAAAGTGTAACATTTTAAATCATTTCCCGTTAAATAATTACTAACTTTAATTTTACCTACTAATTTGAAAGTTAGTTTTAAAATCAAATATAAATTGAACTTTATTTTCCATTAAACAATTAAGGTTTTTGAAACTTTTCCTTCAGTGTTTTTGAGCAGCGTTCAGTGTTATTGTTTTGCCTTTTAGGTGTTGTTTTTTTGTTTTTTTGTTTTTTTGTTTTTGTCTCTCCTGTCTGTAAAGGAGATAATTATCTATAAATAAATAGGTGAAATACATAAGATACAGCCTATTTAAAAGAATTCTGTGGTGAATTCTTTTTAAATAAGAATTATCCTGGCATTTGTCTATTTTAGACATTTGGAGGTTTGTAGGACAAGATCAGATTAAGTTAAACATTACTTTGTGTTACAGTAACTGATACAGAATTTTGTAGGTAAAGTTTCCAGTTGTAACTAAGTGATATGCTTTGGGCTGGGTGCAATGGCTCACGCCTGTAATCCCAACTACTTGAGAGGCTGAGGCAGGAGAATCAGTTCAACTTGGGAGGTGGAGGTTTCAGTGAGCCAAGGTCACACCAGCCTGGGCAACATAGCGAGACTCTGTCTCAAAAAAAAGAAAAGATGATATGGTTTGGCTGTCTCCCCACCCAAATCTCATTTTGAATTGTAGTTCCCATAATCCCCTTGTCATGGGAAGGACCCAGTGGGAGGTAATTGAATCATGGAGGTGGTTACCCCCATGCTGCTGTTCTCATGATAGTAAGTGAGTTCCCATGAGACATGATGGTTTTATAAGGGGTTTTCCACCTTTTATTTGGCACTCCTCTTTGCTGCCCCACGTGAAGAAGGATGTGTTTGCTTCCCCTTCTGCCGTGATTGTAAGTTTCCTGAGGCTTCCCCGACCATGCTGAACTGTGAGTCAATTAAGCCTCTTTCCTTTATAAATTACCCAGTCCCGGATATGTCTTCATTAGCAGCGTGATAATGGACTAATATACTAAGAGTTTAGCTAATTTGAGAAGATAGGCTTACAAGGAGCTTATGTCCTTTGCATCACATGTGAGAGGACTGTAGGTTGAATTCTGAAGGCAGAAATCCAACACCCAAACTCCTAAATGTCAGGCACCTATTTATTTTTCTGTTATATTTTTATTTTTTTAAAAAGACTCTCAAACTAAAATATAATGGTATTTATGTCAAAGAATCATGAACATGTAAGTTACATTTTTCCTTTCCACGTGTGTTGCCGTGTTTGATGTTTTACCAGCTGCTGTGGGGGTGACACAAGTGAATGACTCAGGCCACTGAGCACATGTCTTTCCTCCTTCTCTTCCCCTGCAGACAGCCACCACACTGTGTTCCTGACACATACAGCAACGCCACGCTCTGGTACAAGATCTTCACAACTGCCAGAGATGCCAACACAAAATACGCGCAAGATTACAATCCTTTCTGGTGTTACAAGGGGGCCATTGGAAAAGTCTATCATGCTTTAAATCCCAAACTTACAGTGATTGTTCCAGATGTAAGTGAGAAAAATCATGTGTGTGTGTATGTGTGTGCGCGCGTCTGCGTGCATATGCACATGTGTGTGCATGTGCTGCAACTGTTGTATAGGCCCTGCTAACTTCCCTGGGTAAGCGTCTCCTTTGCCACGTTAGATTTCCAGGTGAGTTGGGACACTAGGCGGAGTGGTGGATGCTTGGAAAAACATGCCACCCATTGGTTAAGAAAAATCTGGTTCTTCTCTTCCTTTTCTCTGTTGTTCAGCGGCAGTTATTTCTTGAGCAACTGCCTAATCCCTGGGGGGTTACAAGGGATCCTTGTATAAATATTATCTTAGAGGATGTTCACAGACATTCATAGAAGACTGTCTAGTGTCCATGTGAACAAAAATAGTACTGCTTAGAGTTCTGAAAGGTAGAAGTAAGTAGTAGAAGGAGATGAATCTTCGACTAGAGAGTGAGGCCTGAATAGTATTTAACTAAACCAAGAGACAAGGAGAATAAAATACTTACCTATCTCGTCTAGCAGCTGTGTGCTAGCTCAGCTTCCTACTTAGACTTGAGCCCACTTATTTTTTTAGAGACGGGATCTTGCTCTGTCATCCAGATTGGGCTCTAGTGGCACAATCATGGCTCACTGCAGCTTCCGACTCTTGGTCTGAAGCTTCATGGGTGGCTGGGACTACAGATGCATGTCCCATGCTGGGATAATTTTTAAACTTTTTGTAGAGACAGGGTCTTACTGTGTTGCCCAGGCTGGTCTTGAACCCCTGGCCTCAAGCGATCCTCCTGCCTTGGCCTCCGAAATTGCTGGGATGACAGGTATGAGTCGCCGCACCCGGCCTGAGCCCACTTTTTAACACTGCTTTGATATTTTGTAAATGTGTTCCTTTCTGGCAGTGTGTGTTAGCTGGATCTCTCTTCTTTTGGCCTAGCCCTTTGTCCTTTTCTTTTTTTCTTTATTTTTATTTATTTATTTATTTATTTTTTGAGATGGAGTCACGCTCTGTTGTCCAGGCTGGAGTGCAGTGGCACAATCTCGGTTCACTGCAACCTCTGCCTCCTGGGCTGAAGTGATTCTCCTGCCTCAGCCTCCAAAGCAGCTGGGATTACAGGCACCTGCCACCACGCCCAGCTAATTTTTGTATTTTTAGTACAGATGGGGTTTTGCCATGTTGGCCAGGTTGGTGTTGAACTCCTGACCTCAGGTGATCCTCCCACCTCAGCCTCCCAAAGTGCTGGGATTATAGGCATGAGCCATTGCGCCCAGCCTTTGCCCTTTTCTGGGGCTCATTTGTAGGCCAGGGTCCTGCAGGAGCCAGCTGTGGAGGTCAGGCTGGATGGTGGGCTGTGGCCCTTCATGCCTGACAAAGGGCACTCCCTGCCTGTGTTTGGGGCTTGGGGGTTGGTAAAGCAGTGTATTGAGAAGACTGAGCTGCCCCACTATGTTGTAAGTGACCTGCAGGGAGTCCAGGGCTGACCTGAGGCCTGGAGATACTAGAGGGTAAAGGAATGGAAGCATGTCTGGGGTCCCTCTAGTAACTTGCAGGGCCTGGGGATTGACTGCATGTGGGAGGTCAAAGGGCAGTGAATCAAGGATGACCTCAGCATTTTCATCCAGGGACATAGAGAAAAGCAGGAGGAGGGAGGCAACCCTGGGGAGAGGTGAGGGGCCGAGGCCTTCCTGGTGGTGGCATACCCAGTAGTTAGGAATGCAGCCTCAGCTGTCCGCCATGCAGCCTGAGGGCAGTCCCATGACGAGGATGTGTCCAGAAAGGAGTGGGGCTTAAAGACGGAGTGTCTGCAGCCTTTGCAGGGGAGAAGCCTGCTGGAGGGGCAGGGTTCAGGCAGTGTGGGGGTGCAGAAGACAGGGCAGAGGACAGCCCTAGGGCTAGGAAGGTGTGGGTGCTCTCCAACAGAGGCTCAGGGGCACCATGTCCTCACTTAATGAGATCCAGCTTTGGTCACTTAGGAGACAAAACGAGAAACCTCCTCTTGCAGCTTAAGAAGAAAAGTTGTGGCAAGTCTGGAGGTTGTCAGTCCTGTCTCTCAAAACCCAGCATTAAAACCTTTCAGTCACTCAGAGCAGATGTTTCTGATTTTTTTCTCTTCTTTATTTAGGATGACCGTTCATTAATAAATTTGCATCTCATGCACACCAGTTACTTCCTCTTTGTGATGGTGATAACGATGTTTTGCTATGCTGTTATCAAGGGCAGACCCAGCAAATTGCGTCAGAGCAATCCTGAATTTTGTCCCGAGAAGGTGAGCTGTGGATGGGGTCCAGGCCAGCATTTTGCCAGAGGTCTCTGTATACAGAAAGTCCCAGTTATCCTTACTCCATTTATTGTGGGTGGCACCTTTCATCCAAAGAAATGACAGTTATCCCTCAATATCCGAGGAGGATTGGTTCCAGGACCCTGGTGGATACCAAAATTCATGAATGTCCAAATCCCTTCTGTAAAATGGTACAATATTTGCATATGACCTCTGCACATCCTCTGTAACTTTTTTTTTTTTTTTTTGAAGATGGAGTCTTACTCTGTCACCCAGGCTGGAGTGCAGTAGGACTATCTTGGCTCACTGCAGCCTCCGCCTCCCGGGCTCAAGCAATTCTCCTACCCCAGCCTCCTGAGTAGCTGGGATTGCAGTCGCATGCCACCATGCCCCGCTAATTGTTTGCATTTTTAGTAGAGACAGGGTCTCACCATGTTGGCCAGGTTGGTCTCAAACTCCTGACCTCAAGTGATCCACCCGCCTTGGCCTCCCAAAGTGCTGGAATTACAGGTGTGAGCCACTGGGCCCAGGTCATCCTCTGTAACTTTAATCTCTAGATTACTTTTTTTTTTTTTTGAGACAGTTTTGCTCTGTCACCAAGGCTGGAGTGCAGTGGCGTGATCTCCGTTTACTGCAACCTCTGCCTCCTGGGCTCAAGTGATTCTCCTGCCTCAGCCTTGAGAGTAGTTGGGATTACAGGCGTACGCCACCACACTTAGCTAATTTTTGTATTTTTAGTAGAGACAGGGTTTCACCATGTTGGCCAGGCTAGTCTCGAACTGCTGATGTCAAGTGATCCACCTGCCTTGGCCTCCCAAAGTTCTGGGATCACAGGCGTGAGCCACTGTGCCCAGCTTCTAGGTTACTTATAATACCTAATACAATGTAAATACTATGTAAATAGTTGTTACAGTGTATTTTAAAAACTTGTATTATTTTTATTGTTGTATTCGTATGTATTGGTTTTTTTCTTTTGAGTATTTTTGCTGTTTTTTATTTTTTTTTTTTTTTTTTTTTAGACAGGGTCTCGCTTTGTCACCCAGGCTGGAGTGGAGTGGTGCGATCATAGCTCATAACACAATCATAGCTCACTGCAGCCTTGACCTCCCAGGCTCAAGCGATCCTCAGCCTCCTGAGTAGCTGGGACCACAGGCATGCATCACCACACCTGCTTAATTTTTGTATTTTTTGAAAAGATGGGGTTTTGCCACGTTGCCCAGACTGGTCTTGAATTCCTGGGCTCAAGCGATCCACCCACCTTGACCTCTCAAAGATTACAGTTGATTACAGGTGTAAGCCACCGTGCCCAGCCCTCTTTTGTGTATTTTTGGTTGAATCTGTGGGTATGAAACCCACAATTACAGAAGGCCAACTGTAGTTTCTGCCTTCATGAGAAGTGTCTTTACCCTCAACCCAAACTATGGTGTTGGATTTTTAATCATATACCCAAACCTCCATCACCATTAAAGGGAGTGACTTGGCAGTTGTTCTCAAGTCTCCACTGGAGCACTGCTGACCCTGGGTAGCTGGCTCCTCTGTAGTTCCATCAGCATAAGAAGTCTTCTAACAGAATGTTTACCAAGGTTTAAAGACAGTTACCTCAGCTGGGTGCACCTGTAATCCCAGGACTTTTGGGAGACTGAGGCAGGAGGATCACTTGAGCCTAGGAGTTCAAGACCAGCTTGGGCAACATGGTGAGACCCCATCTCTACTAAAAGTTAAAAAAATTAGCCACATGTAATGGTGCATGACTGTATTCCAAGCTACTGGGGAGGTTGAGGTAGGAGGATTGCTTGAGCCTAGCAGTTGGAAACTATAGTAACCTATGATTGCACCACTGCACTCCAGCCTGGACAACAGAGCGAGACTATGTCTCAAAAAAACAAAAACCAGTTAATTCTGTCTCTGCACAGTGGTTCCAGATGGGCTGCATCTTGCAGGAGACTTTGAGATTTCTAGTAATTTCTTCCTAGGTGAGATTTTCTTCTTAGGGATTTAGTAACTTCACTGTCTGGTTGATATGTGCAATCAGTGTGGCGTCCTGGTCTTTGGGTAGGGGCTGAGTTAACCTGGGCTTCCCTTTTTGACTGGTTTCCTTGGCTTGCTGTCTTCCAGGTGGCTTTGGCTGAAGCCTAATTCCACAGCTCCTTGTTTTCTGAGAGAGACTGAGAGAACCATAATCCTTGCCTGCTGAACCCAGCCTGGGCCTGGACGCTCTGTGAATACATTATCTTGCGATGTTGGGTTATTCCAGCCAAAGACATTTCAAGTGCCTGTAACTGATTTGTACATATTTATAAAATTCTATTCAGAAATTGGTCCAATAATGCACGTGCTTTGCCCTGGGTGCAGCCAGAGCCCTACAGCCCCACCTTGGACTTGAGGACCTACCTGATGGGATATTTCCACATGTCTCTAGAGAAGGATTTCCTGGATCTAGCTGCGTTGGAGCTGGTCACGACGATGTTTTCACTAAGGTCACGGGTGTGTTACGTCACTGGTGGGGTTGAAGTTTGGTTTGGTTCTTGTTTCGGCCCAGTATGTAGAGAACGTTTGAAACAGTCTGCACCTTTGATACAGTATTGCATTTCCAAAGCCACCAATCCATTTTGTGGATTTTATGTGTCTGTGGCTTAATAATCATAGTAACAACAATAGTACCTTTTTCTCCATTTTGCTTGCAGGAAACATACCTAAGTTTTTTTTATTTGTTTATTTTTTTCCTTTATAAAGAAAAAATAAAATAGTCTCATTTTAATACTACTCTAGTTAGGACAGACTTGTGCTTTTATCCTGAGTAAAATGTTAAATATTTAAGTCACGTACATGGTAAAAATCTAAGTTTCATTTTCCACATGGGTGACCAGGAACCTGGTCTTGTTGGAGTTGGCACAGAAGGTTCTACTGTCTTCTTGGCCGCTCTTGTCCCTCCCTTCTGTTGTCAAAGTTAAAGCAGCCTCTTCACTCAGAAAGGCTTCAAAATGTAAGTGGCTCTAGAGTTAGAGTGACCGTTTGCTGTTCTGCTTTCTGGAATGCAGATGACAGTATGGAAAGAAAGAATAATTCTAATAGTTGTAATAGGAAAAGATTTCTTTCTTTCTTTCTTTCTTTCTTTCTTTCTTTCTTTCTTTCCTTCTTTCTTTCTTTCTTTCTTTCCTTCCTTCTTTCTTTCTTTCCTTCTTTCTTTCTTTCTTTCTTTCTTTCAAGAGTGGGTGGATTTCTCCTTTTTTTTGCTTTTTATGTGACTAACATATCTTCAGGAGGAAAATGGCAACTAGTACATCAGGAAGAGTTTGAAAACAGTGCCTGTGAAGTTTGAAGGAATGCAATTCTAATTTGCCATTTATCAGGGAAAACCAAAAGCATTTTTCTTGTAACTTTTCTTTTTTTTTTTTTTTTTTTTTTGAGACAGGGTCTTGCTCTGTCTGTCCCTCAGGCTGGAGCATAGCTCAGTGCAGCCTCCAACTCCTGGGCTCAAGCAATCCTCCCACTTTAGCCTCCTGAGTAGCTGGGACTACAGGCGTGTGCCACCACGCCTGGCTAGTTTTTAAATTTTTTTGTAGAGACAGGGTCTCCCTCTGTTGCCCAGGCTGGTCTGAAACTCCTAGCTTCAAATGATCCTCTCACCTCGGCCTCCCCAAATCCTGGGATTCCAGGTGTCAGCCACCACACTCGGCCCTCTTACAACGTTTTGTTTGATTGTCTAGTTCCTCTGTCTCTTTTTTCTTCTAATCCTTATTCATTTAAGCAAAATTGTACATTATCTTTTTCAGTGCTTTCATATTGTATTCTTACTATTTTTCTTAATAACTTTTTGCCTTAATAGCTCATTGTCACTAATAACCTCTGTGTTCTCCCAGGCAATGTTATAACAGAAGGGCACTGAAAACCTTGGACATGACCATGAGTACTTCCTCTCCTTAACTCTAGGTTTGTAGTCTGTTTTGAATTAGGATTAGTTCCTTCATTCTGAAATACATTGGCTTAGAACATTTTATCCCGGGCATTTTTGAATGGAAAACAGTTGCGGGCTTTTATTGAAGATTGTTAAAATAATCACCATAGTAACTTGATATGTTAGTATTCCTCTTTTTCCTTTTCGTATGTTTCAAGCGCAGTAATCATACTTGTCTATCCAGTTTCTTTGTATGATACGAGTTGCTTACACGATGCATGGCTCACTTATTAATTTAGTTTTCTCCTTAGAGACTTTGAGACCCTTAGGACACAAGATTGAGAAAGAGCCCTGTGGCTTGGCTCTAGAAACGCCGCTATCATTAGGACCGTCAGATTTTAGATTAAGCTGCTATTGAATTAATAAAATCCCAATGAAGCAGAGTTATAGGGATAGATTTATAGCTGGCAGAGTGGTATCGAAGGAGAAAGACAGTGAAAAAGCCAATTTCACTGGTTCGTTCAGTCCAGCTCGTTGCTAATATTAGTTACCCTTGTTTTAACGACAGAGTGTGGCTGGACTCTGTAGCCAGGGGAGGGGCGACACTGTTAGATGTGAGGAAAGGAAGTGCCAAAAATGCCTGGACAGATGGCTCGTCCTGAGCCCAGGACACACACTTTAAAATCCCAGCATTCACCTAAGCAAGTACTTCTCAAAGATCTTACAGAAACACAGAGTCAATCAGTTTTATAAAGGAAGGCTGCAGGGAGAGAGGAGGCCTGGGGGCCTGGGTGAAGAGGCCTAGGACCTGAAGAGACTCCAGCGAGTCTCAGAAAGCCCAGGGGACCTGTCACCATCTGAGCACTTCCCAGGCTCAATGCTCAGCCGGAGTTTGCTGGTGGACCTCGGGATTCGAAGTGTGTGACAGACAGGGTGCTCTTGCTGTTCAGGGCGGCCCCGTGCAGGAGCACTAGCTCACCCTCAGGCATCTCGGACTGGAGGGCCAGCAGAAGGTCAGCAACTTACTCTTAAAATGATTGTTTCAGATCATATTGATCTCTTTCCTTTTTCCTTTTGTCCTTTCACTGTATGACTTGAATCAGTTTTGATTCTATTTGTAAGTGTTTCTTGTCATGAGGCACCTGCCATGTCTGTTGCGTTTTCCTCGGCAGCATGTAGGGCTTCAGCTTCCTGGGTTTTCACCCCTCCTGCAGGCACTGTGGGGTCCTGAGGGCCAGCGGGTCCATTTCACCTCTTGCTGCATGATGGTCAGTAGCTGATCTGTTACGGCATTCACTTCCAGATTAATTTTCTGTGTTTGAAATATGTGCATATGTGCTTTACAGAATAAAACATCTGAATTTATTTGCTCTGCGTCTTCTTCCTCCAACCAGATGGTGTTTTGTTTTGTTTTTGTTTTTGTTTTTGTTTTTTGAGACGGAGTCTCGCTGTGTCGCCTAGGCTAGAATGCAGTGGCGCAATCTCGGCTCACTGCAAGCTCCACCTCCCGGGTTCACGCCATTCTTCTCCCTCAGCCTCCCTAGTAGCTGGGACTACAGGCGCCTGCCACCATGTCCGGCTAATTTTTTGTATTTTTAGTAGAGACGGGGTTTCACCGTGTTAGCCAGGATGGTCTGGATCTTCTGACCTTGTGATCTGCCCGCCTCGGCCTCCCAAAGTGCTGGGATTACAGGCGTGAGCCACCGCGCCCGGCCCGGATGAGTGTTTTCTAAGGGAAGAACATGTGCAGTCAGCAGCTGAGGGTTTTTTGCAAGCCGCTCCTTTGAAATGTCGCCTGTCATTTGGACAACGGGTGGTCATTGTTCCGATGAAGGCAGCCTCACCAAGCACATGCGTCTTCCCCCTGAGGGTACAAAGCCTCCTGTAGCTTGCTGGACCAACAAGTGCTTGCAGACCTGACCCTAATCCTGCCCCAAGGACGTAAATAATAAATACAGACCAGCGGGGAGCATTGAATAGACGTAGGAGTTCCAGGACACCCCCTCGGTGACATAAGCCCTCAGCGTGCACTAAGCCTGTATGCCCAACCACAGGTGCCCCGCCCGCTCTGTGGTCTCCTGTTGCAGAGCTCTGGCCGGCTCTAGACCTCCTTTGGCAAGACAGTGCATCCTCCACAGTTTCCATAGCTAAAGGGAGATTAATGTTCACTAATACAAATCTTTCCGCTTTCCAGCAGCTAGAGGCTCCATGCCCCTTCCCCTCCCTCCCCAGCCGGTGCTGGGGTCGCGAGGTCAGTCTCGTGGTTGAGGAAGGTGATACTCAATGAGCTCTTTGTTCCTTCCACCTCCACCTCTCCCTGCCTCCTGCCTGTAACAGGCAAACTGCTTGGAGCGTGGTGTTATTGCCTGTGCTCTCTCCTTGGACTCATGTATTCAATGTGTGTGTGATGATTCACCTCCCATCTCAGTACAGAATATGCCTTGGAGAAGAACAGCTCACGTCTCTCTGCTGTCTTAGCCTGGTAAAACCTGATACGTGCCAGGTTTTCAAGTCAGATCAGAGGTTTTGCTTTAAAACCATTTCATTTTCCCGGTGGGCCCCCTGTGCTTACAGTTCCCTCAGACTCACAGACGTGCAAGGATTCCCCCAAAAGTGGAATGAACGCACAGACTATAGCACTCCAGAGTCTACTCGAGGTTATTGTGAACTCAGTTGCTGTCTCAAAGAAACATATCCTTGCCTGGAGTTCAAGACCAGACTGGCCAACATAGTGAAACCCTGTCTTTACTGATGAAAATATAAAAATTAGCTGGGCATGGTGGCAGGCGCCTGTAGTCCCAGCTACTCAGGAGGCTGAGGCAGGAGAATCACTTGAACCCAGGAGGCAGAGGTTGCAGTGAGCTGAGATCACGCCACTGCACCCCAGCCTGGGAAACAGAGCAAGACTTTGTCTCAAAAAAATAAAATGAGTATATCCCTACCCATTTGAGAGCCCACATTCTTTCCACCTATGAAGACCACGCACCCTTCACATATCACACTAGTTGTTGATGATGGGGGAACTAGGGTGGTTTGAAAAATTGCAAGAAGAGGCTGGCCATGGTGCTTACACCTGGAGTCCCAGCACTTGGGGAGGCCAAGGCGGGAGGATCGCTTGAGCTAAGGAGTTTGAGACCACCGTGGGCAACCCCGGCTTTGCGAAAAATACAAAAATTAGCCAGGCATGGTGGTGGCACGTGACTGTAGTCCCAGCTACTTGGGAGGCTGAAGTGGGAGGACCACTTGAACCTGGGAAGTCAAGGCTGCACTGAGTTATGATCACACTCCGGCACTCGAGCCTCCTGGGCAACAGGGTGAGACCCTGTCTCAAAAAAAAAAAAAAAAATTGCTAGAAGACTTGGCAGTAAATCACGCTACATCCAAGGGGAAAGAAGCAGGGGTTGAGTTTTGCTGTTGACATTCAGCCTCTTTTCTCCAAATTCTTTTTTCTTTTCTTTCTTTCCTTCTCTCTCTCTCTGTCTCTGACTCTGTCTCTCTCTCTCTCTCCCTCCTCTTCTTTCTTTTTTTGAGACAGGGCCTCACTCTGTCACCCAGGAGGCTGGAATGTAGTGGTTCATTCATGGCTCACTGTAACCTTGAACTGCTGGGTTTATGCAATCCTCCTGCCTCTGCCTCTCGAGCAGCTGGGACCACAGGTGCACATCACCATGCCTGTATCATTTTTTACATTTTTTGTAGAGACAGGGTCTTGCTATATTTCCCAGGCTGGTCTTGAACTCCTGTGCTCAAGCAATTCTCCTACCTCGGCCTCCCCAAAGTGCTGGGATTACAGGCGTTCACCACCACACCTGGTGCCTCTGAACTTTTTTGCTCATTCAATAACAAACATTTCCCAGGATCCTCTTAT